TATATGAAAGAAGAGTGGGTACTTTTATGTCAAATCATGAGGTTGGCTTAATTTGGCCCACCCTCTTTTTACGAATTTTTTTATATACATAATTCACAGAATATTCTTGTATTATGTAATAGAGTTGGTTCATTTTAACTTTCCTCTATTTTTGCAAAAATTATATTCAGATTAAAAATTATTTTATATTAGTTGACTTTAAAATAACAATGAAAGCTAATGATATGAATTTACTATATATATTTTATATTATGAAGTTGAATTAAAAACTTTAAAATAATATAACGACCAATTTATTGATTGTTTTAGTTTGTTATAACTGAAATTGAATCTACAATTATATATATTATAATTAAACTTGATTATATAATTATAAGTAAAATAAAATAAGTCTATATATAAAGAAGCAACATGTTAAGGTATTACCGCAAGTCAATGAGAATGTAATATATTCGAAGATGGAGATAAATATGTTTAAAAAGGAAAAAAATGAATTTTTGTGAGAACCTTGTGAAAGTTAGCAAAGTTATGTAAATATTAGTAGTGTTTTTCATGTGAAGGGGTTGTGTTTTTATCATGCGAAAGAGGTTACACGTGTTTCTCTTGTGAAGTGGAGGTTTGGTATTTTGAAAGTTTGATGTGTTTTCAAGTGAATTAATGTATTTGGAGGTTCGTTGCATGAAGTATGATCGTGCAATAAAAAGAAACTAATCCAAGACTCCAAGAAGATCTTATGGGTGTCATGAAGAATGCACAACCTCAAATAAATCCAAGTGTGTATATATATATATATATACACACACACACATATACGTACATCTGGGATGTCGATTCATCACCTGGTTTGAGTTCTTGATTCTTCTCCGGAGAAGATGTAGACGAAGAAGTGTTGGGTCACCTATTGATTTGGTGATGACCCACTGATCTGTTCCTCTACTTTAGCAACACTTAGTAGTTATTGGTTCTTTGTAAGTTGGAGTCTTGGTACATACTTAAAGCCATTGGCAAAATCGAAGACTAGCCGATGTGAAGACAGAAGGTCACCGATGCGGTGTTGTGGATCAACTGTCTAATATACACACCAAGACTCCGAAGTAGCTGAAATGCATATTGAAAATATTTTGAAGCTACAAGCCGATTGAAGGAAGATCTTCATRGACCGAAGATTGAAAATCTTCATGGACTCAAGATTGAAGATCATGGACCGAAGATTGAAAATCTTCATGGACTCAAGATTGAAGATCATGGACCGAAGATTGAAAATCTTCATGGACTTAAGTTTGAAGATCATGGACCGAAGATTGAAAATCTCCATGGACCGAAGACTTGTTCATATCCATCCAAAGGAGATCTTCCTACAGACTGACCATATCTCTGCAAGGTTTGTCTCTACATGAACTGTGCAAGTTTGTCTCTGCATGAACTGTGTTGTATGCATGCAGTGTACGATGAAAATGAGATATCAACATTGGTCAGGTCAACCCCTGCCTTCTTATCCCCAAGTGACAAGTGTCCCCATGCATTAAATGTTGAAGGCAGTATATAAAGACAGTGTGCTTCTCCCATGCACACAGAAGGCTTTTGAAAGATTACTCTGTGCACTCTCAAAGCAATCGGCTACTCCCTAACTCTCCTGTGTGTGAAGATTCTTAGTGTTCTTCAATTCCTTTCAAGAACTCTCTGTGTTGTTCTTGAAAGTTCTTCTCTTTGTAAGATTGTTTAGGTTAGGTTTTCCTTTCCTATCTTCCGCAACAATCTTTTGTTTTTCTGTGTGTATTAATTCTTGATATAAATAAATAAGAATTAAAAAGTTGAAAAAAATCTGTGTAATTGTATTCAACCCCCCCCCCCCCTTCTACAATTACTTTCTGTTTATTGTCTTACCCTTCGGGACTAACAAGAAGGTTGAGACCTCGGGTGTGGGTGGAGGTCACCGGAGATGGGGGAGATGTTGCCAAAAGCGTGTCAGATACGGGAGGTTCAATAGGAAGGGGAAGGGTGGGCTTAAAGTTGGGTTTGTTTTAATTTTAGGTATGGTTTAGATGTAGGTGTGATTTTGAGTTCTTGATATGTATTTGACTATGTGTGCCCTTCTCTTATTTTGTTTCCAAAGAGTGAGGGGAGGGGGTTAATATAGAGAGAGAGGAGAAAATATCTAAAATATCCTTGCATTAAAATTTTAATTCAAAATTTATAAATTTTCTAATTTATCTATTGATTTGTTGTTGAGATTGGATTAAAATTTTAATTCAAAAATTACCAAAGTTTTCTAATTTTCTAATTTATCTATTGATTTTTGGTTGAGATTTGATCTCACGGTTACCACAAACTAGTTAGTTATCTCTTGAATGGATCCCTATATATATATATATATATATATATTATCTAAACGAGAAAAAAGAAAAATGGCAAATGACCAAATTATCCTCACTTAACAGATGGGAATTAACACTTATTAATGACAAGGACCAAAATGTTACGAAAATGCATACTTTGAGGACCACATCAAAGAGAACTTAAGGCCATAAGAACCAAATCCGTAATTTACTCTATTTATCAAGTGTATTATGTTTTATGTAAAGAACGACCAAAATGCTCTTATTTAATTGGATTTGAGTGAAAAAGTTAACAACCGTTAAACAAATGGATAAAGTATATTGGGAATTGACAAACATGTGACAAGAAAACCGATTAAATAAAGTAATCGTCAAAATGGACAGTAAGGATGAAATCCGAACTTTATCTATATGTAATAAACCCAGATCAAGTTGATGTGGGGGATATCAACCCCGTCCCCGTTCCCATCCCTAACCAGTAGAGACAATATATTACTATCCAGGAACCGGAGGGCAGAGACTCGGTTATGCGGGAATCCCCGCTCTCGACAAGGTTGAGGGAACCTGGTAACCACTGGGGACGGATCAAACTACCATCCCTACAACTCATTATCTTTTTATTATTTTATCCGTTCTATGTCCACCATGTGTTAGTCTTTTAGTTTGTGCCTTCTTGGTCTTTCTACACGCTTGCTCATGATAGTGTTGTACAAAGTGTCGATATTAAAGAGTTGTTCAATTACTAAATTTATATACATCTCATCTTCTTAGATTCTACTTTTTCAAGTGGTATTAATCAGTTCCGTTTGGTTTGATTATATAAAACATTATTTTATATTTTTGAAAATTAAACGGAGATTTTTTATAGTTAAATATAGGGTGGGGATGTTTGCAAACCCCCCCCCCC